ATGTCAGAGCTGGTGAGAAGAAATAGTGAGTGGGTAAACTCAAGCATCATCTTGTATGAACAAGGTGTGAGGATTTTCATTCAGAGCACTGAACGTATCATCTAAACCTGATAAGAGGCTTTCACACAGACTGCACTGAATGTTAAAGGAATGTTTTAGAGATTTTTTTTTGAATTGTAAGATCTTAGTGATAAAACTTTGTGTGACTTCTTTATTCTTTAATTGAAGTTTACTTGAAGTTTCCCAAAATAAAAGCATCGTAATGTCATTCTGCCGCTCATACTTCATATGTGATGTATTCATGAATGAAAACATGTCAATCAAAGCACATGAGATTTTTTTGTTTTTTTAAGAAACACGGGGAGATACAGTTTCAGCAACCATGAGTCTGCATCCAATGCCTCACAGATGAAAGCTCCAAAATGTTTCAGGACGAATGGGAAGCTTTGGAAATGTTGCCTGGTAAGAAAGCTGTCTTGTTTTTTGTTTGTTTCTTTCCTATTATTTAACAAACAAATTATAATAGTGTCACACCTGGAGTAACTGACATTTTCAAGTACCTGAGATGACAGGTCTAGAACTTCTGCCATCTCGCCCGTCAACTTTGTGCTACCCCATAATAATAACTGTCAGCTGTCAACAACCCGACAACAAAACAGCCTTTTATCACACTGTTTTGCACTATGCTTGTCTCGCTAACAACCATAGTGGCGAGACCCTGAATAAAGGGAAACGCTTGACGATGAACACTGTGAATAAGCATAAAGATGCTTTTTTGGATAATCCATCTGCTCTCCTACAAGGACATGCACGTTGTGTATGGCCTACATTGCCAGCTCCAGTGAGGATCCGGAACAGACAGGACATTCGTCATACTCTTCCCTGTCCTCCTTTATGTGCCCACAGACTTCAAGGATTGCACGGCAGAATGACAGCGTCTCTAATAATGTTGCTGCAGAGGACAGCATCCCAGTCCTTCTGCTATAGGAAACAAGCTGCAGGCCATTTTGACCTCTCTGACCATGACTGCTTCCCCCTGTTTTGGCTCTTGGCTCTGGCTGTGAAGTTTAACCTCTATGTCCTATTAATCAGGGTGTGTAGCAGGTCATCAGAAGCAGCAGTTCGCAGTACAGTAAGAAAAAAATGTAAAATCATCACATTGCAAGTATTACAATTCTAGATCTGTAGGGTTGATGTGGCATTTTACTGTGAAAGCTTTCATTCGGAATCATGGTGGATTTTTTTTTTTTTTAATTTTGTTTTAAAATATTCAATCAATCCACATCAATCATGTATCTGTGCAATAACTATGTGCCTGTTTCCTCATACACACATGCTAATGATTCCCCGTTGCATCTCGATTGCATCTTCTACATATGGTGCACCACTGCCCCCCTGTGGAAAACAGTAAAACGTGATGTCGTGCAGGGTGTAATTCTATTATTAAATCTAGTTTGTCAAAATCCAGCAGAATATTGTTTGATTTGGTAAAATTTATTAGCCTGGTTAGATTGGGGGGGGGTTCATCACTTCATCTGTAACATATTGAAAACTGGTCAAAATGAATAAGAGGTATGATTTAACAAATGTGTTTGTAAGGATGTCAAAACAATGCATTGTTTTGACAACTGCTCCAAACCTTTAAAAATTCTAAATTTTCTGGGAGGCAAAATTCACAAAACTGGTATGAAAATAGAATAAATTAAACTCAGAAAACGCCCAGAGAAGTCGTAATTAAGTAGTTAGTCACTTTCTGCATTCAGAATTCCACTGGCTAAAATGCAAAGCGTCTGTAGGTGGCAGATAGCTGTAGACACTCACAGTTGTTCCTCTCTCCTGACCACCTCTGTGCACAAAATGTTGTAAAAAATAAATAAATAAATAAATAAAACTTTCCAATTTGGAGTCATGGCTGCAGATGTGCTCTCACTTATTTTCTTATGTAATTGTGCATACCCCATCCTTTTCTCTCCCTTTCCTTAAGAATAACTTTTTGACAGTCTCTCTCCCACTGAGGCCATTGCATTTGGTGAACAGTAGATGGATCAGCTGAAGGGTGAGCTGTATCTCTTAGGTCCTGTGCCAGGTCTTTGCTGGATTTTTTTTCCTGTTTCTTAAGGACATGACTTTCTGATAGTTTTTTAGACCTGACACTTCTTCTTTTGTCCTTTACTTATCCAGTTTCTTAAACTTTTTTTTAAAAGACCTTTACAAAGCTTGAAGAACTATTGCTCAAGACTACTTTGAAAAATTATCAGGAACTGCAAAATCCATCCATCCATTCTCTTCCACTTATCCTTATCAGGGTCACGGGAGAGCTGGAGCCTATCCAGCCCTCCCTCCCGCCCAGCTACCATAGTTAGAGAGGTGAAGTACGCCCTGAATAGGTCACCACTCTGTCACGGGGCTTCTCCAGAATATGACAGTATATTACGTCAATGTGTTTTATGGTTGATATTCATATTCTTCCATGAGCTAATTGAAATACTTAACAACATAGTGTTGATAGTTTAGATAAAATGTGGTTTTTGATATCTGGTAATTTATTTGAATGTATTTGTATTATTTTGTTATTTTTGCAAGTACGGCCATATTGTTGCGTTTAGGATGCTCACTTTTGCATAACAGGAAATGTGGCACTGGGATAGTCAGTAACATGTTGCAGCAGCCATTCTGGAATGAATTAAAAGTTAAGCAAAAATGAAAAACAGCAGATCAGTTTGCAAAGCTCTCCCCTTCACTCCCTCCCTTTGTCTCAATAAGGGACAAAGTGAGCAGATGGCTCCTCACCAGTGCTGGTGAACATCAGCAGCAGCTTTGTCTCCTGAGTGGGTGTGTGCACGTGTGTGAGAGAGGGAGGGAGAAAGGGAATGTGAATTTTTTACATTTCTTAAGTAGCATGTGCATCACAGCAAGGCAACATGTGGACTTTCTCAGCAACAACAACAACAACAATAACAAAACGTTACTAAGACAAAGACCAAACTACAACATCATCATCAAAGAGAGCAATCACAATCTGCCAGTCTGTCTCCCCATAAAGACCCTATGAGGAGACAGAAGGAGTGAAAATGCATGCTCTGAATCAGAAGTGCCTACAGACAATCACTTCCTAGTTGAAAAAAATCCTGAATACAGAGATTTCTCAAATTTTCACGAGTCACCCTAATAAATATTCTAGGGCTACATAAACCATTTTTAGATTTACTAATTAAAAGTAGCAGTGATAAATTCATAAGAAAGGACACATTATTTGTGTTTTGGTTGTCCAGGGATTCAAGAAATCAGTAGGTAATTAAATAATGCCTCTCCACTGGGAAAACTGGATTAAATTATTACCTTGAATATGTTCATCACTGCTTTGGGCCATCTGTGGACCCTTAAGAAGACCAGCTAAATGGCAGCTATCACTCTGGAGCGAGTGTGTGTGTGTGTGTGGAGGGGGGTGGGGGGGGTGCTTTCATATTTTTTGTCAAAGGAGACTCGGGATCAAAGACAATGCCAGAATTTTTGACAGAGTCCTTTGGGAGAATGGTACTGCCACTGGAGTTCAAAGATGTTCTGATAAGCAGGCTTCCTGCAGTCTCACATTTGAATTTCACTTTTATCTGTGCTGAAATTCTTTGCTGTTATTTTGTGTTTTTGTAGTTCTCACAAATTTCTTGACTTTTACAGTAGCTGCTCGAGACATTGCAGCAAAAGAAATTCTCATTGTGTCTTTATGAGTCGGGCTCCCACAATTTACTCTAGGCAGCTCTTAGAATTTTTGCTATTCACCTCACAAAATTTAAAAGGTGTGTAATTTTCTGCTTTTAAGATCCATAAATTAATATAAAAGGTCTTATGATTTAACTTTTTGCCTAAGAACTGATCAGTCATGCAAAAGGAGAATATCTAGTGTTGAATGATAGTGGCCATTGACCAGCACAGAAAAAACAGCATCTAAGAAGACAACGTTTGTTGCCTTGACTTATCAGAGTTGACTGTCAACACTTTTGCATTAATTAATGCAATTAATTAATGTGCGATTTTAAAAGGGATGCAAGTAGCATTTAATGGTGACCTAGCATTCTTTTTTTCCTAAACCCTAAATCCCTGACCATGTGACTTAACTCTTCAAGTCACGAGAAGTCAACACACAGAAACCAGGGAGCTGGTGGTAAATTGAAGTGTCATCAGTATGCATCAGAAATCATTTCCTACCAAAGGAGAGCAAAGCAGGCAGGGAGTAAGAGGGAGAGAAAGGGTGATCTGATGGGCTATGAAAGCATTAGTCACTACAGTCACTGTAATAATGTAATATATTCAGTCTATACAAAGCATTTTAGACTCTAACATAACATATTTAATATTGACGTAGTAAGATATGATTACCATCATTAGATCAACAAAATTATATGATAATGAAACACTCGTTTGAACTGGAAAATACTTCCAGGTGATGCTTTTTCCTCTCTGTCCTACCTGCTTTTTGCAGGTGCTTATGCACTTCAGGCCTTGTTTTCAGGTGCATTAGTTTAGAGAATTTTGAAAAAAACATGACCACTCTTCATCACTTATTATCCCTTTAACAGCACGATCTTCTATCTTCATACAGATGCTCTAAAAAGTGGTTAATACTACCTAGTTATGCATGAACAGTATTCTTTTTTTCAGAATCTTCAGTACAAATTCTCATAGGAATTTCCATATGCAGTTTTTTCCTAGGTTAGCTCTTCTTTTTGTTATTTCAGTTATCTATAGCATTCACCCCATGATTGTATTTTCAAAAACCTTTAGATGGTACCATACCACCTCTGAAGAGTTATGAAAATAACTAATGTGACGATATAACATAAAGTTGTGGATAATATATATGTAGTTTGTGACAGAGTAAGTGTGTTTTTGCTAAACTTTCAACTTAAAAAGCTATTTGTTTGTTTGTTTATTTATTATCATTATTTGTTTGTTTATTATTTCTTAGAAAAATCCCATTGGTTACTATGAAGAGTCATATTTTGAAAAGACTAAACGGAAGTAATAATCATTCCTTCCTGCTCTGACTACGCTCGTGAACACTGTAGCTATTTATTACATTTGATTGATTTCAACAACTGATTAACTGTTTTCTCCTGGCTGTGTATTTCAGCAGACGAGTTACAGTGGTTAAGCTATAAGATCGTGGCGTATTATTGTCATATATTCATCAGCCACGTCAATATCCTCAGACCCCGTAAGTGAAACTAACTTCTCGGGCTAGCTTTAGCCAAGTTAGCTCGGCTGACTTGTCCATGGCACCTCTCCGGGTCTTGTGTATCCATGGATACCGTCAGAACGCCACCTCGTTCCGTGAGAAGACTGGGGCTCTGCGGAAGCTGCTGAAAAAACACGTAGAGCTGGTTTACGTGAGTGCACCCCTCAGTGTGCAGCAAGCTAACACGGAAGGTGGGTCACCAACACCTGTTGCTGAGCCTATAGCTAACTGTGTGTTAATAGAACTTAATAATTATTAAGGAATAGTTGTTATTACCCAGTTAAAGTAAATTGTGTAAATATTTGGGCTATCTCTCATTCAAGTTTTTCTACGAAAATGAGATATTGGGTGCAGTGATTTATTGAAACGTGCAAGTGTGCAAGGAGACATGGAAAAACAGAATATGAGGCAAAAGCAGAGTTTGTTCAGTTCTAACATGCTTTAAACTCAATGTTTGCTATGGCCATATTTGGTGTGGTTAAAATTCTACTGAGTTTTAACAAGACAGCTAAAATATAGCCCCAAACAATGACACAGCCTCCACCATGTATTAGAGATGGCTAAAGACACACATTGTTGCACCTCTCTCTTGACCACCTCTTTATATACTGATGTCTAATTGAACCAAAAGTTTGGATTCATCACTCTATATGACCTGTTGCCATTCATTTTCAGTCCAGTTCTTGTGTGATTTGCCATACCTCAGTCATTTCTCCCTGTTTCCCTTTCTAAGAACTCCTGAAAACATTTCTAATAAGGCTACAGTAACCAATAATTCAGTTCAACTCAGGTTTATTTATATAGTGCCAAATCACAACAACAGTCACTTCAAGGTGCTAGAGGGAAGATTGATCAACTGAAGAGTTTCTGTTGGATCTTTTAGGTACTGTTTACTGCTGTAGATATTTTTTTATTAAGTCCTGGTGCTTCTTTTGTTCTCCACTTGTCTAGTTTCCTCTAAATTTTTAAGGACGCAGTGCACATCATGATAACTTTTAGATTAGATAGCACTTCAGAAATCACTTTGTCGGTGAAAAAATACAATTTTTATTTCTGTCAAACATTGTTGTCTTTGGCATTTTTCAAAAATTCACCTAAAGAAATTGTGTTTTCTTCTGACAAAGTGCCTAAAGATACAATTTAAAATTGTTTTCATATGTGTCGATATAACACTGGTTCATCTCTTGAGTTAGGTGCCTGTTTTTATTCTTGAATGATTCATAAGAACTGGAGAACTATTGCTCAAGACCGCTTTAAAAATGACGAGAATGTGTGGCTTCTTGAGAGCAAAACAAAGAAATAAGGGGTGACTCACAGTACAGAATATTATATCAGTATGTATTTTATGAGTAATTGACACGGGTATGTATATTCTTTCAGGCAATAATTCAAATACTTAACATTATAGTATTGGTTTTAGATTAAATGCTGGTTTAGATATGTGTTAATGATTTATTTATATTAGTTTGTTATTTTTCAGATACAACCATATTGTTGTGTTTTGTCATCCATATTCAGGATGCTCACTTTTGCATAACAGGAAATTTAGGGCTGGGCCGTTTAGTAATATGTTGCAGCAAGACCTTCAGAAAGCCTGGAGAACTATTACTCGAGACCACTTAAAAATATACAAGTCTGGCTGCTTGAAAGTAAAATATAAAGAAATGAGAGGTGGCTTGAGACTTTCACACAGGATTTTACGATAGGTGCATATATAACTGATCTATATCTGATCAGAGTTTTTTACCTGTTCTATGCTCTCATTTTAAATTCCACAGGTCAAATTCCACTGTTGACCAGGTCATCTGTGGAATTTGGCTGAAAACTCAGGACAGGTTGTCTGAAAACTAATTTTTATGTTTCTTTAATCTGAACATACCTTCCTGGTTTTATGTAATCTAATATATGTGCCAGATATCACTGTTAGTCGCTGTTTTGTTGTCTGCTGTCAGCCTGTTGCATTGGCCCGAGTTATTATGTCACATCAATTTAGTGCTCGCTAAATGTTCAAAGATGTTTTGAAGAAGAACTGAGAGACTATAAAAGTAGAAACAAATACCCACAAAAATATCAGCATCTGCATCAACCCCAAATCTCTGTTGCCTTCCTTTGAAAGTAGCCACTTTCCTCTTCTGTCCTTTCAGAAGTTGCAGATAAACGGAATGATTCAGCTCCTGAGTCTGGAGGTGATGAGGACCCCAGGGGTTGGTGGTTTTCTGACATCAAGGCTCGGAGTTTTAACGCTCAGCAGCAGTGTGAAGAAAGCCTGGGGCTTGACGAGAGCGTGACAGCTGTGAGAGAAGCTGTGAAGGACCAGGGTCCATTTGATGGCATCCTGGGCTTCAGCCAGGGGGCTGCTTTTGTCGCCATGCTGTGCTCAATTCAGGAGCAAAAACTGGAGCCGACGTTCGACTTTCGCTTTGCCATCATCGTCGCCGGTTTCCGCAGCGCATGTACGCAACACCAGAAGTTTTACAACTCTCCCATCCAGGTGCCCTCCCTGCATGTGTTTGGACTGGAGGACAGAGTGATCCCTGATAAGATGAGCAGGGAGCTCCTCCCCTCCTTCCAAGACCCTCAGGTCCTCATTCATCCTGGTGGTCATTTTGTTCCTGCCGCATCTGCTCACAGGCAGACGTACCAGGACTTCCTCAAGAGGTTCCAGTGAGATTCACAGCCACAGGAAGTCTATGTGAAGATTAACAGAAGTCGACTCAAACTCTAAAATGTGGCTGGTTGATTTTTTTTTTAATGTTCAGAAACATCTTGTGAGAAAATAATTGATTCCAGATGCACACTGTTTATTTAAACTACTCTGCTCTGTGTTTCGCTTTGTGAGCTAAGCAACAGCCTTATTGTAACCCTCAGTGAAAATTTATTGCCTTAATAAAGATGAAATTATGTCTTTGTATATGTTTGAGATGCGCTTTAATTCACCAGTATTGAAAAAGCTAAATCTGATTAGCAGCATGGCTTTGTGCCAGTAAAGTGTTATTATATTTGTCTTTTTAGCTGAAGTATTGTAGTTTCTGGTCACTCCTTAAAGTCGGTACAATTTTATGTAGTTATTCTTTATTAAACCAGGGACATCTGACTCTCCAATTCCTTATGAAAGTGTCCTAGCCAGGATGCACAGGAGTTCAGTGAGCAATGTTTACTTGATAATACACAGTATGCATACAGAAATACATAAATGCAAACCAAAATGATAAACTTCAAAGCTAGATAAACATAAAACAAATGTACAGTCTCATGCAGCAACCTCCTTGTCATTTAAAATGACTTTGAATTTATTTACAAAGCACTCTAAAGATTATTTAGAGTGACAGAAGAAGGTGAGATGGGGGGCGCAAAAACACAAGTAGCCGAGTCTATCCCTGGTGTTATTATACTGTTGGACACTATTCTACAAATTCTGCTGTCAGCAGGTATGTTCCACACTGAGGTGATATGAGATGTGCTATTATTATTATATTAAAAAGGACGTTTACCCTCTTTCAATTCTACAGTTTTCATATCAAGGTGTCATCTAAAGTTGCACATTATTTATTTAATAAGACCGGTCAAAATGCAAAACCAGTGGGTGAAAAACAAACACCCCATTTTTCAGGAGTTTGTAGGACCCCCTTTATCAGGAATAATTTGAAATAATAGTTTTCTGAATGACTCTCACATCATTGTGGAGGAATTTTGGCCCACCCTTCTTTACAGTGTTGCTTCAGTTCAATGAGGTTTGCTGGCATCAATTTATGCACAGCTCTCATGGTCCCTGCACAGCATCTCAATCAGGTTGAGAGCTGGACTTTAACTGGGACACTGCATCACCTTGATTTTTTTTTCCCAGTCATTCTGAAATTGGCTGCTGTTCTTGAGATCAATGTCCTGTTGCATGACCCATTTTCAGACGAGCTGTCAGACAGACAGCCTCACATTTAACTCTAGAAAACTTTGGTATTCAGAGGAGATCATGCTCGACTCAATGAGCGCAAGGTGCCCAGGTCCTGTGGCTGTAAAACAAACCCAAGTCACCATCCCTTCATCACTGTGCTGACAGTTGGTATGAAGTGTTTGTGCTGAAATGCTGTGTTTGTTTTCCACCAAACTGCATTATAGCCAAACATTCAGTTTTGTCTTGTCTGTCCACAGGACATTGTTCCAGAAGTCTTGTGGTTTGTGCAATTTGCAAACATTAGCTGTGCTACCATGTTCTTTTTAGAAAGATGAGGCTCTCTCCCAAACAGGCCTTACTTGTTCAGGCTTTCTCTAACTTTGCAGTCATGAACTTTAATATTTAACATGCTAACTGGGGCCTGTCAAGTCTGAGATGTATCTCCTGGGGTGACCTTGGGGTGAATTTGCTGGGACGTTCACTCGTGGGAAGTTTAGAGACTCTTGAAGGTTTTCCACTTGTGAATAATGTTCCTCACTGTATAAATGATGAACTTCAAATTGTTTGGAAATGGCCTCATAGCCCTTCCCAGAGTGATGAGCAGAAACAGTTGCTTCTCTAAGACCCTTTGCTGACGTATTTCCTCTTTGGCATTGTGGCAACACACACCTGATTGCTCCAGACCTGCAAACTGCCAAAACATCTGCTTGTATAATGGTGCTCAGTTAATACATTTAAACAGCATTCCTTGGCTGTAACTTACCCCCTTAATTCCTATAGAAGCAGGTTTGATGCACATGACTATATGTAAGCTGCAGGTATAGAATTTGATGAAAGTTACCAAACCCTCAGATGTCAGTCCTCTGCAGATGCTGCAATCAGCAGGGATATTCCACACACTGAGGTGACACAAAAATCACTTTGATGATCACTACGGCCTTTATGTTAACATTTAATGGGCTATATTAAGAGCATATAAAGGGAAGTAAGGAACGTTATAAATTTCACACTATACACTAATGTCGATATACTTTTTTTTTTTTACGCCTGTAAATTCAAGAATAACTTCTACAACAATTTTTCCTCTTCTACAACTATTTTAAAACCAACACTACACCAAAAGAGGGCTGACATTTTTAGGATCTGGGTACACTCCGCCATGATTCTGCAAAGTTATGACAGGAATTTTATATCAGCGTGACAGAAGAAACCTCAGTTTAATATGTTTGGGAAATATTTTGCATAAGAGCTTTGCACAAATTCTTCCCTTTTGTGTTGCATCGAGGCGGCTGTGTCACAATGAAAGCTCCCTCTTACAAAAAGACCTTTGTGCTAAGAAAGGTCCACGGTGAACTGGACAATGCTTTACTCCCACTTTTAATTAACGCTATACATCTGTGAAGGAATTAACAAGAAATCATCCGGAGAGGATGTAGCTCAGTGATCGGTTTAGTTGTTTCAGATTTTCCGGGGTGCATGAAGGTGTCGTGCAGACAGGTTTATGCGCACAGGGAAATGTGTAGGACAAGGACATATTGTTCTTTTATAGCAGAAGCATGTGCATGTCAGCCTGTGCTCGTTCAATTGTTTCCAGATGTGCGCTCTCTCCTCTCTACCTCTCTTGCTCTCTCTCGCCCCCTTCCTTTCCCTTTTCTTTCATCTCCCACCAGACTCTTCCTCGCTTCGATACCTCGTCAACATCCTCCTCCCGTACACATCCTGTATGTCATCGGCATTGGGTGCACCATACCCTATCGCCGTGTCTGTTACATTTATGACATGGACAAAAATAGTTTTGTTTGTCTGGATGTCTCGGAAATCTCCTCTCGGCCCAAAACACCAGGCAACCGTGGGCTCATGTAAGTGCTGAATTGCCTCATTGAGATTAAATTCCACTTTAAAACTGCTTAACTTATCTTTAGCCTCGGCTTCTTCTCATAAAGAAAAACCCCACTCTGACTCTCTTAATCAATCAGCCTTGTGTTTACAACAAACCACCTCCATCAAGCATCTGATGATCTCTTACAGCCTCTCACACGGCTCCTTTCACCACTGTAGTCCTCATATTCATTCTCCCGTGCTCCCCTGTGGCCCTTGTGTCCCTCCAAGACCTCACAGCACACACACACACACACACACATGGTTTTGATAACAAGTAGAGATGAACAGAGAGAGTGAGTGAGCAAAGGAAACAGTAAAAGAAAAACACAGAGGGTCACTCTTGCCAGTAAGTTTTACAACAGAGCCGTGACTCTCGTCTCAGGAATCCATTCCCCCTGTTGCACAACAACCGGGAAATAATGGAATGAGAGACAGAGACGCACGAGGGTGGAGCCATCCACACTCTCTGCCTCCTCATCTCCCTCTCTTACTCGGCCCCACTCTGGCCACTGCGGTTAAAAAGGGAGAGTGAGGGTACATTCAAGGCTTTTTGTTTTTTGAGGGGGGGGGGGGTTGCCACAACTTAAGTATCACTTTTTCCCTCTTTCCCTCGGCGGAGGCTGGGGGAATGGAGCAGGGGGCACAGGGGTGTGTCATAGCACAGATGGGGCTCTATTTTGATTATGGAGCGTTTGTTGTTATGGGAGACAGAAGAAGGGGCGGGACAGCAGTGGCCCCTATATAAGACTTGTACTTAAACTCCAATGAGCCTGGTCATCCCATGGCCCATGCTCATCCAGAGACTGACAAAGTTGACCAACTCTGCCTTGTTATTACAGCCTCCACCGCTGACAGCTCTGCGTGGAATAACCTGTGATTACTAGACACTCAGCTGAGGACTTGAGATTTTATTATCTGGCTTACAACTTTTGGATTTACATCTTTTTTCCCCTTCTTTTGGCAGCCATTCACCATCTGTTTTGTTTTCATCATCTTTATAATCTCAGTTGCTCTGATCCCAACAATGAGAAGATGCTGAAGACAGAGGGATTTGTGAAGAGTTTGGATTTTTAACTTTTTCACTCCTCTGCGAAAATCAAATCTGATGTTGAATTATTATAAATATAGTTCTTATAAATATATGCATGTCTGCATGGGTTTACATGTGTGTTTGCACAGTTACATTGGTATGTTAGTGCAGAACGGGGTGATATAACACTGGATGTGTTCCAAAGATATGGCATGTGTCCATTTTCTTGTTTGTTGTGAACAAGAAATAGAAGAAAACTTCCAGCTTTCTTGAATGCAACTAAATATTTGTATTTTAAATGTGAGTTCTATAAGACTCATACTCCATACTATGATTTACTCATGAAAGTGGATCCTTTTGCGGTTTTCTCATTCATGGGAATGTTTATTTGAGATCATATTGTACAGGAGAAAAGTGAAAGGTGATACCTTTATAGGAAAATGAAAGCATGAAACATGCAAATCTTAAAAGATCTAGTATACATATAAAACATACACGCTTACTATACTTTATTTCAATATAGGGACCCTTGTGATGTGAGAAGTGGTGTGCTTGATGCCTGTCACGTGTGCTGACATATTAAAGAGGGAACAGAGGGAGTATATTTAGAGCTGTCAGTTGAATTGCTATTTAAAGAACAGAAAGCTGCCACTCAGTTGTCGTCCGTTAACGACATGAAAGCGCACAGTGACAAATTCTGCGCCGTGTGATTCCGAGGCCCAAACAACGCACAGCGGGTGTTTACGTCTGGGAGTGCACGTGCATGTTCATAAGTGTGTGATTTGGTCATTTGTTATTCCTTGGTTTCACGCTGCATACTTCTGGTTTTCCCTTACTTTGTGGTTTTCTTGTTTGTGTGGATGAAAGTGTACTTTCGCTGGGGCCAGCGGCTGCTTGGTTGCCTGTCTGCTTCCAGTCATGCGCCCAGAACTGTGACAACTTTACTGCACATTATTATTATTTCTTTGAATAATGGCTGGATGATCCCCGCACCTTGAAAAACAGTTAGTCCCAGGTGGGATCTCCTGTGACTGCTTAACCTGTTCAGTGTGAGCCTGTCTGGTTGACTCTGTAACTGTAATACCAGATGTAAATATGATCACAGGATGTGCTAATGTTCTTTTTTTTCCCCCTTTTTTTGGCAGAAGGAGGTACAGAGGTGAACTGAGGACACGGACGAGGCTTTCTTGAGTTAGGGCAGCGGTCGTTTGATGTATGATGTCATCTGCAGGCATTTGTCTGCTTGTCTGCTTTACTGTGCTGCTTTAGAGGCTGTGGCTGGGGCCTGGCGTGGACAGCTGTGGTTTGGCTGTCCTTATAGGTGCCTAACTGACACTACTGGGGTAAATATTAGTCATCATGGCCATGAGGCAGGACTGTGGTGGAGTCAGTTTAAGATAGACACACAGAAGGAGAGCAAGAGGCATGTTTTCACTTCTTTCTTTTTTTTTATAAGTCAACTCTGTTGCGCCGTTATGCACAGTTATGAAGAGGCGTGGAGCATAAAAGTGATCATCAAGACCAAGATGATATGTGCAGAGGAATAACAACAGCAAGAACAACAAAGTTTGATGATTGCATTAGACTGAAAGTGTAAAAGAAAAAAGGGCCTAAGACTGTTAGTAGGAATAAGTGGGAATAGAAGTTTTTATCATTTGCTCGTACAAATAGGGGTGCATTGGTTAGCAGCATCACCTCACAGCAAGAAGGTTCAAACCTCCTGATTGGCCTACTTTCTCTGTGCAGAGTAAAGCTTCGTTTTCTCCTCATGCCTATGATTTGCATATTAGAAGACCACAAGTGAGTGGTACTCAATTCAGAATAAGTAGAATGACTTAGAGTAGACACATGCTGATCTGTTTTTCTAGAAATATGCTTGAAGAATAAAGACTTGAACGCTGTCACTTGAAGACTGCGCCTTGTTGTTCTCTGTTGGTATACTTACATACCAGCAAGATGTCCTGCATTTATTTTTGTTTGTTTTCTTTTGTTTTATATTGGATTCATTTGCGGAATGTGCATGTGAGTGTGAATGTCTCTCTGTTTTAGCCCTGATTCAGTAGCCTGTCCAAGATGTACTCCACCTCTTGCCCAGTGCCAACTTAGGATGTGCTACAGCTACAACCCCAACCAGTCACCCCCAAAGCAAGCTGTGGTATGTTCCCTTTTATGTAGTTTGACCTGCAGCGACTTCTCAGCCCTTAACAGTAAGAGTTTATGTGCTGTTCTTTAACTCTCAGCACATGAGCTTTTACGGTGCAGGGAGGTAGAGGATAAACAACTGATCTTTTTTTTCTTGTCCTTGTTCCCTTTCCTTCTATTTTCCTTTGGCAAATCAGTGAACGACAAATATTTGAAAAGATCAGGTTCCAGCTGGAGTGACGCAATGCAAAAATGTGATTCCTGTAGTGTTTTCTCTGCAAACTTCTTTGAAATGTCTTTAGTAATGACCCTTATGTGCCTCATCGGCCTCCTTTTCAATAAAGAGCATTTTTAAATGAAAATAAGATTTTTTTTAAACTTGTGTTTATTTGATCTAATCTATAAAGGCTGATATGGTTTACATAGGATTTTTGCTCTGTGTGCTCACTTGTATCCCAAATCACTCTGTTTAAAGTTTTTTTTCTCTTTTTTTAGAAACTTATCTTCATTGTCTAAGGGTTTTGGCAGCTGCAGTGCACAAATAATATGAGAAATATATCTTACTGTCATGGAGGAATCTGGAGGTTTATAAAAACATTAGTCTTGTTTTGATTATCTTCATCAGCATCCACTTTTTCGGTTACAAAGTAGGAAAAGCTAACACATCATCGCATTGAAAGGCAGATAATTTCGCAAGTATCCACACACCACTGGGATAAAGCTTTTATTTATATTTCATTTGCTGCAGAACTTTTGAGTCTGGGGAAAAAAATGTGTTAAGCAGATGACCTTGGCAAATTCTAGCCTCTAGAGGGCAGTATAACTCTAAACATTACCGAGTAATGTTTGAAGTAGAGTAGCCTAAGTTGGAGTGCAGTCTTTATGAGTGTGATGTGTTTGTTGTAAGCATACCAAACGTGTGTGTGTGCATGCGTGCGTGTGGGTTAGCCCACCTGTTAGGACCCAGTGTGTGTTTGTATGTGGCTGCAGGTTATAGCGCTGCCCACAGGGAATTCTTGGCTGTGCTGCTTTGAAGTGAAGCTGCTCTTGTCTGATAAACAGAGAGCAGAGCAGGTGTTGGAGCTGGCTGACTCATCCGTTCAGCATGTGCTCTGTGCATTCATCACTGTACTCACTGATCAAAAGAAGCACCCTATGTGTAATGAAGTTAAAAAGGAAGGCAGCGTGTGTCTACACGTGTTGCAGCTTAACTTATCGTGAAGGTGTTGGGTGTAGCGAGCAAAACACATTATTAAATAAAGTCAAAACACCATAAACAATGAATGACATGAGTCATTCCTCAGTATTCACAGACATGAATATATTAAACTGGCATCTTTTCACCTGAACAAATAAGTGACATCTCACCAACTGCACGAGACACCTTAACTGTGAAGTTCACCATGAGCTGCAACCTCTCTCTTTCCTGATGACACCTGCCCCTAACGACCATGGCTGTAGACTGTTACCATGGTGCTGTTGCTAGAGTAACAATCTAAAGCCACGGTCGCCATGGAGACAGCAGGGTGGAGGAGGAACTGGAGTTGGCATGGTAACAGGAAACCTGCAAGGTCTCATTGGCTTGAGTGTGAATGCTACGTGCTTACATTGTGTAGGTCTCCCCCAATGCAAGCCCACACAGGTTTCCTCTCTGAGCGGGTGGGTGGCTGAGTGGGTGGGTGTTTTGTGTGTGTGTGGGGGGGGCACAGAGGGGGATCTCTAGCAGAGTGAACTCCTGCCATCACAACAGCCATTTAAAAAAGAATGGGATAATATCTTTTTCTTTTTCACTGGGTGTTCATGTTGCCTTCACTGTGGTGTTTGATGCATTGCCAGGCTTCAGTAGCCATGACTGTAGACTGTTACTGTACTTTGATACTGTATAAGCAGTAAGCAGTCTAAAGCCAAGGTGCTGATGCTCTGGCAACAGGACAGGGAAGAGATGGTGAGAAGGACAAACAATCCCCTCATGGAAAAACCTGCATCAGCAAAAAGAGGAGAGGTGTGAGTGTAATTACAGCAGTAAAACTTGACACATTTCCCAAAAGGCCGATCATTGGTACAATCTTTGTTGACCTGGGGAATCCCAGTAGTCTAAATAGATGATACGGAAAGACTGGAACGAGTATGCAAAACGATTCATTTTTGCTGCTTTAACCATCTTAGTGGTCATTGCTGCTGTTTGGGCTTCAGGTTTCCCAATGTAGCACCATCTTTGCATACAACGCAACTGTTTAAACGTCAGGTGAGACGAAATTAGCTTTTGCTTCTGTGCAAAATTAACTGGGAAAATGTGAATTCTGAAACACCCATTACAACGTTCACAAGTGGAAGTCTGCAGTACTCTGGCTGATTTACTCCCTTAATTACTTAGGTATATAATTCTGCTGCGGGTGAGAAAGAACAAGTGAAGGGTTGTGGTGATACATTTTTTTAAGAAAGCTGCTGTAATTCGCGTTTACACTTCAACACCAGTATAGTTTCTATACATGTTTCATTCACTTATATAAGGTTTAAACAGTTTTTACAAACATCCTAGTTACAAAAAAGATCACCTAACCCAAGAGGCAATCAGTTAATCTCCTAAGCCAATAAATCCCTAGAGCAAAACAGAAAACTGTAAGTCAAATTTTGTTTAAAATGAGTCATCCAGTTCATCCTTTTATTTAAACACATTCAACACTGTATAAACATTTATTTAAAAAAAAAACCTGAGAAGGGTTGGTATTATTCATCCTCCACCCACTGTTTTCCTGTCTCTGACCTAGTTATTGTTTGTACCTATAAAAGTGCAAGTGAGAGAGCAGAGAGGGAGGGAGGCAGAGCGACACCAGACATTAGGGATGTCTAATAAACTGGTGTTCACATAATAAGCTGTCTCAGAGGAGCTCTGGACATATTTAGGAGTCTCCTCCAGCAGTGTAGGCGACACCAAGACTTGAACCACTATTGGGATCATACTGTAAATGCCCTTGGCTTCTTTAACCATCCCTAGATAGGTTTTTACTGCAGACTGAAAGATTTAGCATATTAACAAGCGAGCAATTAATCACAGAAGACTAAAAAAATTTTAAAAAAAAACCTCCTTTCTCACCCTCAACATCTTTAAGCTGCTGTGCTTTCGACCTGGAAAATGAAGATGTACCTGATTAGAAGTGATGATTATGAGACTTAGCTGGTGAGTCACTGCCCAATCACATGGGACGTTTCAGAGTTATGCAATCATAGCACTGTATACTGAGGAGGGCTAACACAAGACTACTGTGTAACACTTCCTTATCAGCTCATAATAATGACACATCAAAAACCTTTTTTTAAATGAGTTTTTCCCCATAAGCAAACTATCTCTGCATCAGCTTCCTTTATATCTCCATCTTTCTATCCCCCCACCACCACCACTACTTCTTTTTTCAGCACTACGACGCTGGGACAGCGACACAGCCGCGTCGTGGCTCGGTGCTGTTCGCGGTGCTGAACAGGACGTCACCTTTCATCTGAAAGGCATCGCTAAGGTCTAGTTTTCTTCCAGCTGTTTGTTAAGCATATTTCTTCTTGTTTTTAGCGTTTAAATAGTTTCTTACATTATGATCCTGATTTAAAATCATAAAAACCAACTCTACACGTTTGCCTCGCGCTGCAGCGCGCTCTTTTCCACAACCTCCCAGGTCCCCGCTCTAATTTCTTTAATAAACGGCCAGGTGACGAATCTTGTCACGTGCCTCAGTGCTCGACTAGTCTAAGGGTACGGGCGTATGACGTCCCATCGCGAGCGCACCAATCGGTTCTCGTCCCATTCTGCCACCTGGCTTATCAGAGCGCGTGGGCAGTGCTTCAGTCTGGCTTGGTTTCCATGGCGCTGGGGAGAAACCGCGGAGACCGTGTGGGCTGAGGGTGCGGGACCATCTCGGAATCATCTTGAAGCTGGACTTTGGATCTTCACTATTATATTTGTTTTTAATATAGAAAGCCTACATTAAATATAGACTCATCTCTACGGTTACCGAGTCTAAGCGTCACACTCTTACAGTTTATGGCCCGCATAAACTGTATAAACTCTGCATAAACTCTGGCCATGATGAATAATATCGTTCACGGCTTTCATTCATGTAATGCACGTCACTAAGTCTTCCAGTGTGATAGATTAGTACGTGATCTCGGCTAGCTTTGCCTTCCTAACACAAAAAACCCTCCGCTCCAAGTCCTACAGGAGCCCGGGGACAAAGACTTGTGAATGAACAAGGGGCTTCATTGACTCGCTCCACCCACTCCTCGCTCGTGTTCTCCGTGCACGAGCCTCTCACATTGCGCATTCACAGCTGCACACCAGAGGATCACACACTGCGGTGTGCGCGTGCGCGCGTGAGCGCAATGCCTATAAAAGGGTTATAGTAGGTGACTGCGTATCATCTGCAAAGTGCGCAAGAATGACGCAGGGGTGACTTCACTGACTGACTACGTCACAGTACTGGGACTGGGGGGGGGGGGAGACAAAAAAACAAAGATAAGGGAAACGCCGACCGGAAGTGCAAGGAGGGGCGAAAGATGTGAGGGGGGGGAGGGAGGCGAGGACTGCAACGCCACACCGGAAGAAAGTGATGGCTATAATGTCATCACTACCACCGGAAACCTCCCGGTGCCACGCGCTCCCGAGATTGTAGATGAGGTGGGGGCTGGGTGAGGAGCACTCCCCCACAGCCACACTCCCCTTTATCCCACACGCAGCTATAACCAACTGCGCAGCTACACACACGCACTCACACACACACTGAAGCACAAGAGAGTGTGCGCGCTTTTGTGTCAGTGCACGTGTCAGTGTACATTGCACAGTGGGATTTGCACATCTTTGTTGGACAGAGAGCCGGGCAGGCTACAGAGGACCCGGAGCTGCCTTAGAGGCAGCCTAACCAGCACCTCTCTGTTTGATCAGATACCTGATGTGACCTGGATGGCAGGTGAACGTTAATCACCGGCAGTGAACGGTGGTACGTGTCTTTAAAATGCGCCTCGAGACCGCACAAGACGGCAAGGAGGTACTTATTGAGCGATTTTTTTTCTGTCTGTAGATTTGATTTTCTAGATATCAGTGATTCTCCCTTTTTCCCAGGTTGCAGGCTGAGTGCTGCCCACATGGGAGTGAAAATGAGTCACACTGCAGCAACTTCCAAGTAAAGATGAGACTGCTGTCAAGCGCAGACTTCTGGGTTTCTTAAAAGGATGGCTCGTCAGTTATACTGTCTCCCTACATTTAGCCTGCTGCACAATTCTTATGTATTTCTTTTAAAGTAACACAAAAAACGAACAACCCTAAAAAATAATCATAATAATCATAATAATTAAACTTACCTTATTCAAAGCTCCCTGAGTGTCTGCGGCACTTGGCTGTGGAAATATCTCTGTCCCCCCTCTCTCTCTCTCTCTGAACTCGCTGTCTTCATCACCACAAGACTGTCAGCGCAAATCTGTGCCATGCTGTCTTCGCGCACAGACTCTGCCGTCCCTCTTCTCCAGAGTCGCTTTCCATAGACCGGGCTCTCCCATCAACCTTAGGCTTTTTATAGAGATCCCGTAGTAACTAGTAGAAGGCACGGAGGAGGGAGGAGGGGAGAGAGGGAGGAGAGGGGAGAGGGAGCGCTCATTCAAAGATTCACCTACACATGTACGTGCGTATCCCACGTCATTGAGCGGAGTGCAGCTATTTATAAAGGGGAGGAAAAGTATAGCCTGAATCACTGTGCAGGTCTTTTAAAAGGAGAGAGTGAAAATAGTACGTTTGTTGTGCATGCGTGCTCCGGTCTAAGATTATCTCAAATATTAAAAAATAAATAAATAAATGTTTAAAAGAAATCTCGGGGGGGGCTCGGAGGTACACAGTGACTTCAAAATCTATTTCCATTTGTGAATGAATAAGCGATTCATTACATAATTGCTTTGTAACATTTCGCAAAGGAAGCATTTGATCTAAATGTCTATTTATTTTTACCAGGAAGACTCGCAAAAATGTGCCGTAATTGCTCCCGTCGGGGGATTCAGCGTTAATGTCAGGTGGCTCGTTTGAGAAAATGTTATTTGTACCATTTCAAATCAACCCGCATTTCCAGCCTCTCTCGACCGAGCATGTGAATATGTAAAGAGACTTACCAGAACACAAGCATGTAAAGGCTGGAAGTTATGGATGAAAATGTGTTCACCAGTTGCTCGCCGCCAGATCGTGATGTGTAGATTTGGCGGTGAATCACTGCGGCTGCCTGCTTAAAATTACAACGAAAACGTTTGGCGCAGAGCACCGACTTGTTTTATTCATTGAATTTTATTTTAATTGTTTTAAGGTGTAGATAACCCTGACTCCACATATCTGTAAAAGCCTCACGAGAGATGTCACAAGAGTCGTGCGTAATCTCAGCCCGATTTTATTCCACTCACATATTTAGGGAGATTTGGGGGAGACCCTCGTGCGTAAAGAAGTGTGTCAGACATACGTAGGCGTGTAAAGTGAGAGACTCGTGTAAAGCTGTGGTGGAGGAAAAAAAGGAGTCACGCCACAAAAAGAAGTTGAGAGAAAACTCGATGTCCCCGCATGCCTTTAGGAGGGGCCAGGTGTGGCTTGTGACCTGTGTACAACCCACTTCCCACCTCCACACAGCCTCCGCCTATGAAGCAGGGATAATTTCCCTATTAGGAAATGTGGATTTCAAAAGAAAAAGTCTCCTTAAATTGCAATTCACCTTTCCCTTTTAAAGTCCAAATCAAAGCAAGATTGTTTTAATTGTAGCCCACACACTCTGGGAATAAACTTTTTTTCTTTTTCAAAGCCCTATACTTTCTCACACGAATGAATTTAAAATAAAAAATTTAAAACAACAACAACAACAAAGAAAATGAAACACTCTAAAAGGAAATGTACAGACCCTTAAAAAAGTCACAAAGACGTGATACAAAACACAGAGATGCAGTGGTAATAGAGGTGTACATTTTCTTGGCCAGGTCTCAATGGGTGGCTGGTTAAATATGAGTGAGTTCATTTCTATTCCAATCCAGAGAGCATCTTTGAACAGGAAGGGTTACATCCATGTGTCAGGGACCAGAGCCTCTGCTTTCTATCAGCCTACACCTTATACCAGGGTCAACCAAGGTAATGTAGGGCTTATGAAACCATGACGTTCCTTCCATTCATTCCAACTCCAGACCTTTGTTGCACGGTCAGCCACTTCTCTTACCTACACTGCTTCCTGTTTGGAACTTATGACAAAACTTCAGCTAACTTTAGAAAGTTCTAACCATTTGAGGGTTGATTTAATCACATATTGTTTTATTTGATTACCCGCTTAAGAGGAATATTTCTAGTAATTTTAAGATTAACAACCTGTTTTGAATTTGAACATATTTTTACAGACTTTGTGAAATGTGATCAGTTCTGCGTGGTGTTTCTCAGATCAAGGAGATCTATGACACAGTATGACTATGAATATTGACCACTCGCTCCTTATTTTAAAAAGAGTAGCCCACCGAGAGATATAATTAACACAGTACTGATAGGGGGAGGGGACTTCTTGCAGCAAGCTAAGAAATCAGGACAACAATACATCCACGTGAGCCAAATCAACACTTTAACACCGGGAGTCATTTTATTCCCTCTGTGATTACGTTTCATTTTAGGTCTCGACTTTTTACTTCCTCTTTCAGAGAAAGTGTGGCTGAGAAATTACGACAAAAGAGGAGGAGAGGAAAACTTTCAGCCCCTGGGCCTCAGAACTATAGCATCTCCGCCGACTGCAGCCTATCATTGCTTCGTATGCACGCTGACATGTGGTAGAGGGTAAGTTCTGGGCAAGTGTGTGTACACAGGCATACACAATCCAATTTCCTCTACTACACCCCACATGAATATGCGAACAGTGGGAGTCGGATGGGGAGGGTGAATAATTGAAAAAGTATGAATGAAGTAATTCCCCACTAATTCCCTTCCTTAATCTTGCACTCCTTCTTATTATGATGCCTCACAAACACGCACGCACACGCGCGCGCACACGCGTGCGCACACACACACATCAGTTGCATCATGATATCTTTCTTATCTTTTCACCATTTAAAAATGATATCCAGATGATTTCAAATTGTGCTCCGGATGCTATATTCATCTTCTACATGCTATAAATTCCTATCAGACGCTTGGATCTATCATCAAGCGATCAGTGCAGAGGCAGCTCGCTCTTATCTCCAAACTTGATCACAAATCGGAATGCAGATCATTTCTTGCTCAAATCTCTCATCTGTTTGTCATGCCCAGTTGTTGGCTGTCTTTCTATCTCCTCATCTGTATTCCAAACAGAGAACGCAGACAGATAAGAGAAAAAGAAATTTAAAATAAAGAAAGACCTTCTTCTATCCCTCCCTTACTCTCCCTCTCTCTCCTCACAACCGCCTACCTTGCCTTCCCACCTCCCCTTCTCCCATTCTGACTCATACTGAAATCCCAGTGAGCATCCTCACTCAACCCCCCCAAACCCCCGCCCCCCCTCTAGCCCCCTTCGCTCTCATTTGTGTTTTCTCTCCCTTTGATTGCCAAGCTGGCTCGAACGCAATGAGCAGGGCAAGAGAGAATGAGCAAATGAAAACGACAGAGAGGGAGTGCAGAGATGGAGATGGGGAGGGAGAGGAGAAGAGAGGAGAGAGAGACAGAGAGAGAGAGGAAGACTCGGTGCTGCCAAACGTGCCTGTAATGAGGATTCTGTCAAAGGAAAGCTGGGGAGGAGGAGGAGGGTGTTTGTAGCGGTGTGGTGGGTGTATGTGTGTGTGTCAGAGTGAGATGGAGGTTTTGGAAGGAGTGGGTGTTTATTAGTGAAACCCCTCTCGCCCCCACATCTTCTTGCCTACAAGATTTGTGAGATCACAAAGCCACACTCGCACACAGTGGCAACTCCACATCCACCCACTCTCGCACAAATGCGCGTTCACCTAAGCAGTGACACACAGTGTGAACCCATTCCTACTCAGAAACTTTGAAAAATGTGCATTTTCTTTTTCAGTTTTAAATGTTGCGTGAATCAGAGGAAGTAATGTGCAGTCGATTAAAATGGCCCAGGCAGAATCAACTAACCCCGTAATGGCATCGGCATCGGCATCAGCAAGGTCGTTCCCAGGATTAGGTCTCATGTGCCAAAAGCGTGCGGGGCAACCCGTGCCCTGAGGCGATGAGCTCCCAAAGTCGCATGCCATCTCTTTTCATCAGCTGCAACTCTGACAGTGACACACGCAAAAACTTCCCACCATTACGCCAAAGTCATATGCTGAATGTAATTAATGTGCAGTGCCAGCTGTGCGTATGTGTAGGCAGCCATTTGTGCGCACATGGGTGTGTCGAAGGGGAGTGCCGGTGCTGGAGTGAGCACATCTGTTTGCACGAGTTAAGCGTGGAGATGACTGGAATTTAATGCGTGGATCACAGGGACTATTTCAGCTGGCATATGATTCCATATGTTGGAAGCTTACAGACTGATCACATGTCATGTCTGCCTGACATGCATTGTTTAGTAAAAACAACGCAGGATTTTCCATGTGTCTGAAAATCAGATCCAAAAAAAGATTTCCTAGATTTTATTTGTTAACAATCACTGAGGTGGGTCAGTCATTACAAAGTCATGCTGCACAATCAATTTCCATTTGTTATGTTTACATGTAGACCATTGTTCCCGTGCAGACAGCTACAAGTGGTGCTCTGTGACAGTGGAATGTGCATCTGGAGCCAAACATCAATCAGACACACAGAACCTACAGCAATCCCAACCACATTTACACAAGAACAAGAGAAGAACACAAGAAATCAGACACATAGTTTTCATCTGAAGCCAAAGTTTGGTCACTAATATCATTTAGGGCTTGACCGCTTCACCCAACTTCAGCGAAGAACTGGGTCAGGCTAACACAGACACAGTGTGCAATAAGAAATTAAGAAGTATTGTTCTTTGAGGTATGAAATGTGATTAATATTTTTAATACAGCTTTGATCGTATAAGGTTGTAAAACGCAGTCAGTGAGCTTTCCCTGCTTCAGCCTTTGTCACACTCTACCTCCTATCTCTTTGTTTAAAATTCACTGTCTTCTGTTTGGCTGCTCTGTTGACACATCACTCCATGTACTCATATTGTCTGTTCGCTCATCACTCCCCTGTCACTCCTATTTCTTTTTGTGAATTATACATTAAAAAAACAGTTGAAATGGATAGTCTCCAAACATCTAGTGCCAGCAAATATGCGTCACACAAGCCTCTGGCCCCCAGTCTGTCTTACTCTGAGTTTTCCTGTCTGTCTCTCCTACACATTGCTCCTTTCATTTCTGTCTCTCTCACTACTCGAGATGTGGGTCCCATTGCAGTTGCCTCACTTTCATCCTCCAGCCATTTTTATTCTCTTTTATTTGGACCCCAGTCCCGGCATTTTAATTCTGCTCCACACACTGTTCTACTTCCAGCGAGCGTATTCCCCCATCTGTCCCTCCTCCCTCTGCACTCCAGTCATCTCTAAAAAGTCATCTCCTCCCACCTTCCAGTGTCCCAGTGGGGGGAGGCCAGAGAAAGAGAGAGGCAGAAATGAGAGGGAGAGGGAAAAAAATTAGATTGGGGGGGCAGAAAAGATCGACACTTGATTGGGTCGGAGAAACTCCCCGGTGTCAGAAATTCACCTGCAAAAGCTCCCAGCTTCCCCCGCTTTTCTCATCTGTATTCATGGTCTTTCCTCCTCCTGTTCTCTCCTCTCCTCCTGCATCATGCCTCCTCACCTCTTTCCCTCTTTCT